AATTCAACCACATCATACAGCCACATTGGTTCAAAGTTATCTATTCAAGGAAAACTGGTTGATTGCATTGACTCTCATTTTAAGAGAAAATATGAATAGATGGAGACAAACAATGTCATCTTTTTGCCCCTTATGATTCACCAAAACTGTTCTAAAACTTCAGATTCGTTCTCTTCTAACCACATCACCTTCTTCTTAATACAATCTATCTCCCTTAAATCGCCTTTGGTGAACAGAAAATGGGAATTCTTTCAGCAATGGCTTTCGTGTGGATTTCTCCAGTGTTACTATGTTCTTCCTAACTCACAAAAAAAAAAAAAAAAGATAACTAGTTTTTTTAAATTAATTTTCAAAAAAGAAGCAATCACAAAAGAGTGATTGTATTGTATTGTTAGGTTTGATTGCATACGTATTGAACCATTTTACTGACATCCCTAAAGTAAAAGATTTAACATGTGAAAAATGAACATAATGTTTGAAGCATCTTTACATAGACACCAAGTAGATTTTAAACTAACATAAAAGCCACTGCTTTTCCCTGATGTTACCTTAAGAGTCCTTTATAAAAAACAAAGGCCCTGCTGCAATGTTGATGAGCTTTGTGGAATCCAAACAGCCAGGCAATAGTTTCACAAATGTATTCCAAGTATCAAGAATATTTTACATTCAGTCTTTAGGGACTTTTTAAAATCTGACTCATTATACTTCAGTGGGTGACTCATCATCAGAGCCTTCCACTGTAAAAAGAAGAAATGAATCTTATTGAGTCTATTAGCTTTAAATGTTTGAACAGTGTTTGAAAAAATGTTGCCTAACAGGAAGCTGCATTCTTCAACGTGATTCCTATAAGAGTCTGACGACTTCAAAGGAAAAAACGCTTTCTTTTTGTGTTGTGATCGGATTGATCTATTTCTGGACAATAAAAAAGCCCCCCCAATAATTCAGTTTTTATTTCGGCTTGATGGTCCACATACTTTAAAGATGCATATTGTATTTATTTCAAAGTAGAAACTTGATTTTATTATTTAAGTGCAGCCATAACATTTTTTTTTTGCGTTTAAAATTGCTAGACTTTTCAGTAAAAGTCAGAAAAATTGCCCTTCTTTTAAATTTACATCTCATTTTGATACACACTGGCAGCCTGACAGGGGAGAAAAAAAAGTTGGATAACAGCTTCACTGCGCACTGTTTCATTTCAGCTCTGTCTCGTCTAATCCCTCGTATTTGAGTTCTAAAAAATAAATGTAACAGGTTCTTGTTATTTTCAAGAATTGTCTTAAATGTTTGACACAAAGTCACAAAGTAAGCTCTAGTTCTTACAGCCTTTATGAAATCTACTTGAAAGTCTTGGTCTTTCTCATCCTTGGTTAACTGCAGATACGTTTTTAGTGTCTTACATCTGGCTTAATTTTTTAACACCTCACTGAAACTTACGGTAAAGAAACAACTTTTTTTTTTGTCTTTTCTGCTTACTAATGCAACTTCAACTCCAAAGACTGTTGTCAAAGTAGCCTCGCAGTATTTGGCTATGTTACGTTTAAAAAATACTTTCAAGTCTCTGATTTGGTCAAGTGATAACTATAACCAGTTTCCACCAGACATTATCTTGGTGCATCTCTTATGTATTCTTATTCCTCTCAAAAACAGTGAAAAAATATCTCACGCTTTATCTACTTTGAGAAGTATTGCATTGCTGGACGGCAATTTGTTTTCCTATTTGTTTCCAAATGCAGTGTTGCCTTCCCTGCCTACTGCAGCTGACCTCATCATCTCTTTGCTACAGGTTTGTCCTTCTTCTTTGTTGTCACAGAGCACAAACATCACTCCTCTCCATCACTCTGCCATGAATTTGAAACCCACCTGCTAAACAACAGCAGTAAATATATAACCATTGTGCATCTCTTACAGGAAAAATCCACAGTTAACATTAAATGTAGCATATCAGGTATTCTACGTCATAGGTGAGCACTTCAGCAGAAGTGATAATGGCGCTTAGACTCACTCTCTGAGTAAGGTTTGTTGAATATCCTTCTCTAAACCAAGGAATCAATACTGGGATGTCATTTTCTATAGAATAGTGTTCAGGTTCTCTTTTTTAACTTTCCATTTTTTTGTTGAACAAAGATTTTTTTTTTTCCTATTTGTAATCTGTAAAGTTCTGAGTAGAGCACAAACAATTCAGTGTCAATTTCCTTCAAGCATATTTCTTTCTCATTTCCAGGTTTTACTTTTATGTCTTGTAGTCGAACCATTTAAAATTTGGCAGACCTTAATTATCTGTGCTTTTTCAGGGCCTTTTCTTGTCACTTCTTCAAACAATGGCATAGTTCAGCAACCAATTTCTATATTCAGATTTCTATCTAAAAGGTAAATGTATAAAGAACCTTACCTTGAATGAAGAGTATGAGGTTTCAAAACACAGATATCCAGCCCGGTTGATCAGAAAGAGTTGTGTGTCAACTCTCCTGTCATAGATGGGAAATAACTCTTTAATCACCTGGATGTTTTTAAG